AATGTCAACACTAGAATTGTAAAATTGATTCTGTGTGAGACAGGGAGCCAGTGTTAGGACTTCAAGATAGGAGTAATGTGGGCTCCCCTGTGGGTGCGGGTCAAAAGCCTCGCAGCAGAGTTTTGAACGACTTGTAACAAGCCAGGTCTTTCTTACTAATACATGTAAGCAGGCTGTTACAGTAGTCCAATCGCGAGGAAACAAATGCGTGGACAATCATCTCCAGCTCCTGACCTGAGACCATGTGTCTGAGCTTGGAGATGTTGCGCAAGTAACTTCCACTTGCGCAACACGGGGAGACTAGTGAGGAGACTAGTAATAAATGTTAAATGTCTACACAATGCATTCATGTCGTTTAAGAGTTGCCTCTGTTGGGAGTCACGTGACGCGCTTGGTAAGCATGGCTGCTTGATGACGAGCTCCGCCGCCCCCCAACACCATTTTTATATAGACTTGCAACAAAGAGCAAACATTTTTACGCCAAACACTGAAATCTTGCATGTGAACATGCCAAATAGCACGAGAAGCTCCACAAAGGTGGGACAGGCGACGGGAACCGAGGGAAGTAAAGTCTCCGAAGCTGCAAGTAGCACGCACTAATGCTAATGCTATTGGTATGGTATGGTAAGGTTTTTTATTTTTGTGTACAATAAACATTAGCCAAAAGGAGAGATGCATTGTACCAGGTAGCAGCAGTGCTTATTTACACCTGTAGTCCCTGAGCAGGCTGTTGTAAAGCAGTGAAATAAAAGTAGATGGATACATTATCATACATTATCAGACATAGATTACATTGAATTTATAACAGGTTATAATAAAATAAAATAAAACCACCCATTCCCCATTCTTTACTTTCATACAATCCTATACTGAACTCTCTCTCTCTCTCTCTCTCTCTCACACACACACACATACACACACTCACACAGACAAGCACAAACCCACACACACTTACGCAGACACTCAACACACATGGGAACAGATTTGCCTCTCCAAGAGCCATGCTCTTGTCAGGCATGTGAATACTTTGAGTTCAGTGCAGGTGATGATGTGAGTTGGGAGTGAGTTCCACTGAGTCGCTGCAGTGACGGAGAAGGCTGACTTTCTGAAAGAAAGAGGTCCTACATTTTGGGACGGTGCACTCTCCTCGTGCTGTAGATCGAGTGACACAGGCCATTTTTTCAGAGCACAGGGTCACATATTTCCTGAGGGTGGGGCTATAAGACTGTTTATGATTTTAAAAAGTAGACACACATTATTATTAAAAAAAAATTGATTTTCAAGGTTAAGAATTTTGTATTTAGTTAAGATTGGGCAGTGGTGGTATTGTTTGGGTTTTCTGTCATGTATTTTTAATGCACGTTTGTATGTTGATTGAAGAGGCCCCAGAGCAAATTTGGAGCCCTGGGACCAACTCGACATATGTGGCAGAATCATAGCATTTAGAAATGTGGGAGGCCTCAACTGTGAGGGACACCTCTGATGTGTCTGAAGTTGACTGTTTCGAAGTTTTTTAGAATAACTTTTGAATGTTAATAAAGGCTACTCCATCTCTGCATGCCTTTGTTTTAGCTTTTTACAGTGCATAGAATTATTTAACCCATTAATGTTCGCTCCTTGAAGAAAGTGTAAATGTTTTTAAAGGCGCGTTCAGACCAAAAACTTCAAAACGCTTTTGATGCACGTTGTTTGACGCTGATTTATTTTCGTCATTTTTGTGCTTGAAGCTCCTGACGCGCCTAATGCCGCGTTCAGACCGGATCATGCGTTGCGCCGGCTTTCAATGCAAAGTCAATGGTGACGCGCGTTCAAGTGTCAAAACGCACGAGCGTCTCGGACTGCGCGGGAAAGTCAAAGGGGAGGTGCAGGAGCGGAAAATCAACGCACACAGGAGATGAATTTTGCTCAACCTTTCCTCGGGACGTTCATGTAGAAACAAATCAGAGAGCTGCAAAGTGGTCACGGGAACATTGGTGGTCTGAACGAGCAGACTGAACATACTGTAAACAGCCAAAACGAGCTACATCAGGACTTAAAACAAGGGTTGACAATAGGGGACTGTGTGCTTGTGAATATATGCGTTGTCATGCTCCCGTCACTTTATGCAACTCCTTTGAGTGTGTTCGCTGATGCGGAAGTACCGTTTAATAATAAAATAAACTTATTGCGCAACTCCATGAACACATACTACTGTTATATAAAGTCTGTAGAAGGTCTCTGAACACAGACATGCTGCAAAGCTGCATTATTGGAGAAGATCTGTACACGAGAAGCCGCTAGCTAAACTCTGTTAGCATCAAAGCTGGCCGGCTACTTCCGCCACTTCCGGCGCGCGCCAGGACTTCCGGTCTAAAGGCCCCTGCGTCTGAAAACTAGAGAATGTGCGTCTGGTGAGCGAAGCTTCAGCGTTTCATGCGTTGGCGGTCTGAAAGCAGCATTAACACATGTGGAACGGAGGTTTGGGCCAAGAGTCAACTTTTGGACCATCCTGTAAAGGTGTTTTCGAACCCTAAGGCAAGAAGATGCTATATGTTAGCATTGGCTAATTCTTATTCCGGGTCCACCCCCATCTGCCCGGGGTGGTATTGCAGGCTTGTCAGCGCAGTCATTTTGGCCACTTTTGAGCTGGGACCCGCCCCCACTGGTTTCACCATTTACTCCAGGAGCTGCGTACAGATGAGTTTCGCTTTCAGCGGTACTTCCACATGTCACCGCCCAGTTTGAGTACCAGCACCCCTTATCGTCCGCCTGGACACAAACTACAGGCACTCGATTCCCACTGAAGAGCGCCTGTCTATCAGTCTGCTGTCCAGCAGTCTGCTCTGAGTCTTAGCCAGACTTAATAATTTATGGCATTTTTTCATCGAATTTTGAAAAAATGCCATAAATTATAGTATTACTAAACATGACGTGAACCTCTGGTAAAATACTTTTTCCCACCCTAACTTCTTTGTCATGTTAGCCATTTTTATTCAACCCCGTAACATACAATCTCTGTGTGAATACAATTTCAAAACATATTCAAACTAATTCTTAGAGATTCTTGGTAATCATCTGTCCCTTGTTTTGAAAAATATATTATATATTTAAAGGTCAACATGATACCTTCATGTAAATACAACCTCTAGTCTTCTACAGTTCACACACAGTTCAAAGATTTCTTAAATATTTCTATTTAATATCCAAAAATGTATGAAAATCTGTCACATAACAGGGTTGACCTTACTGTAGCAGGGTTGGATAAAAGATCAGGGTTGCCATTTCAATACTATTTGGATTAATTTACCAGAAAAATAAATGTCAACAAATTGTTATATTATTTAATTCATTGCAACAAACAAAATGAGAGAAACCTGTGATATAGTATTTCATATCCAACATTGAAATCATTGAATCAAAAAACATTTAATTTACCATGAAAACTATTTTTTATCAGATTTAAACTGACTTCATTGTAACACTTAACAGACAGCAGTCCTGTAGTTTTTTATTCTATTTTAGTCGTATTAATATTTTCTTTGCTGTTGATCCTCAATCTTTGCATCCTTTTTAGTCTGAGAGTTGATCCCAAATCTCTTTCTGAATTTGCATGTGGCGTGCATCACGTCCTGTCACGGGCTGAGGAGGTGTAATGAGCACTAGCACGTCATCCAGTGGATACCACAGCACATCGTCTTGTAGAGGCCAAAATAATCCGGCAAGGTGCGTACATTTCACTTGAACATTGGTCTCATCTATGGCAATAATTATCCATGGATAAAATGTTTTATCAAAAGTTAGCACAGACCATTTCCCGATGATCTGTGGGTCATTCCAATTGATTTGTGGCTGGCACTTTCTGACCTGTGGCTGGCAATTTTTCAATAAAGCTGAAATGGTGTGTGTGCCGGCCTTCACATTCCAGCTCACAGATGGTGAAGCACTTACAGCTCAAATCTAGCAAGTTTATCTCCCCACAAGCGAGTGTTTCCACCTGATGGGTGCTCATGGTTCCTGGGACTGGTGGTATTGTGGACGGCATTCTTTCCAATGCTTGCTCAATAGCTTTACCTTCAACAAAGTATAATTTGATTGAAGTGTCTGTCTCCGAAAGGGCCTTGAAAAGCTCATGAGCATTGGTGAGCCTGTCTGACCTCTTCAAAGCAGCTCCTAGACCATCTGGTGCTGCTTTTCCATGACTGGACTCAAAGAAGTTCCAGGTAGCTCTCAGACCTCTTGTTGGAGGCGTGTTTATCGTTCATTAAACTCACTTCGTAGGAGCAGTGAGTTAGAAGTGACTGGGGGAGAACGATGTAAAGCAGCATGGTTCTGTCGTCCTTCAATCCCAGTCACTCCTCACCACTGTAAGTAAGAAACTAATACCTTGTTTGCTGTGTGCTTCTGTCCAGATAACTGTAGTAGAACTAGTTTTTAAAATGTTTTGGTCCTTCTTACTCCGGATGTCAATACACCTCCTACAGAGGCTGATTGTGCTCAAACCTGGAGTTCTGGAGCAGCGTACTTTGGGTCACAAAGAGAGAACTACAGAGTCTCCATTTTTGAGTTTGATCAGTTTCCAGATTGAAGTTGACGGCAGAACAACAGTTTCTAAACAGCCACATCGGACAAGGTAAAACAAAAAGTAACTACATTTAAATCATCTTCAATCCAATGTATCTCCTCAAAAAGCATTACAGCAGTGAGATGTCACGCACCTCCAAAAAGTGGAGAATTTAAAAGGGTGAAAGTCTTCATTGGTACCAACAAAGCGAAAGAATAGATGAGACTGCTTTCCACTGGGTGAATAAACATCCTCAGAGAGAGAAAACAAATTCTGCACTATGGACGCATACGTGTAGACAGAAGACCCAGATCTGGCCATTTTTGAGGAACATTTTGAGAGTCCATACCCACTGTTCTCATGCTTGGCTGTCCAAGTTGGTCATTGGAGAAGACCGTAGGCCCGCCGCCGCTCTCTCCGTGGGTATATGTGTAATGGAGATGTCAACCTCAGCTCAGCATCAGAGTCTCCGTCTATGCCAGCTGTTCTGGTCATCGGAGTGATGAGGGTCCTCAGTCTCGGGTACCTGTGGGCCTTGCTCCAGCTCAGGCTCAGGAATCAGCTCCTGAGCTCTGCTGTCCTCATGGCTCTGCAGACGGGGAGATCTCCACACCAGGGCTCCTTCTTCATCACTGTCTGAATCTGCATTGTCTTGGAATGTCTCTTGTTGTCTTATATTTGTTTGCGTCTTCTTCTTTCGATTACTCAGCTGTTTGTAGTCAGGTTTTTCTAGAGGTAAACTGTCACATTGGAGGAGCAAGTTTCTGTGCACTGTGCGACTTTTACCTCCTTGTTCTGGTTTTACCTCATAAACAGGCATATCAGGGTGTTTCTGGGCGACTATCACATACACCATATCTTCCCAGTATGAGCGGAGTTTGCCGGGACCCCCTTTCTCTTTGAAGTTGCGGAGGAGAACCCTGTTACCTGGACATAGCTGCACACCATGACTTTTTGTCATAATAGTTTTTGCCTCTTGAAGCTTCTTTCTGTGGTGTTTTGGATGCAATCTGATAGGCTTCGCTCATTTTTGCCTGCCATTTTTGCACATACTCGTCATAACTGATTTGTTGATCTTTGCTTGGAAGGTTGAATAGAATGTCTATTGGGAGTCTGGAGCTGCGGCCAAAAAGTAGGAAATATGGCGAGAACCCAGTGGCTTCACTTTTTGTACTATTATAGGAGTGCACTACCTTTGCCAGTGATTCTTTCCAGTCCGCTTTTTCACCATCAGTAAGAGTCCTGAGCATGGAGAGCAGGGTTCTGTTGAAATGTTCCACCTGCCCATTCCCCTGCGGGTGGTACGGTGTGGTGTGAGAGCCGCGTAGACCACAGACCCGTTGGAGCTGGGCAAACAGTTGATTTTCAAATTCTCTGCCCATGTCATGGTGGATTCTGACAGGAAAACCAAACTTCAAAGCAAAGTGATTAAAGATTTTTTCTGCAACTGTTTTAGCTGACTTGTTCTTTGTGGCATAAATTTGTGCAAAACGTGTAAAATTATACATCACCACCAGTATGTATTCATATCCATGCTTACATGTCTCTAAATGCAAAAAGTCTATTGACACCAGCTCAAAAGGATGTGTTGTGATTGATGTGAGTGGGGCTTTGTTTGGTCTATTAGGGCGTCTTCTCTTTAGACATTCACAGGCATGCAATACAAAGTGTTCCACGTCTTGTTGCATCTTTGGCCAATAAAATCTATCTCATATTAACCCCAAAGTTCTTTCTGCCCCAAGGTGTCCCATTTCTTTGTGAAGCTCTGTGAAAACAATGTTGTGGTGTTCTTTGGGGAGTACAAGCTGGTCTCTACCATTGACTCGCCTGTAGAGGATGCCATCCCCATTCAAATACAGTTTGTTCCATTTTCGAGGATTTTCACACGGGGGTAAGTACTCACAGATCTTGTAGTGTAAAACTGGGCCAATGACGGAGTCTTTTTCTTGACTGGTCCTTATTTCTGTGGGCGTGAAGGACTTGTCTGGAAGAGGTGGTGTGTCTTGGACCATGCACATGGTGATTTCACTGTTGGTGCAGATCTCAGGCCCTGTGATCTTTTTCTGCAAACAAACACTGTCAGCTGCTGCCTTTACAACATCTTGTCTCACTTCAGCTGTGCATTGTGACATGTACTGCTCTATAACAAGGGGTATTCTGGACAGGCCATCTGCATAAGTTTTTCTCTTGCCAGGTCTGTATTTTATTGTGAAGTTCAAGTTGTTACGTTAGCTGAACCTCACTTAACGTAGTAACACAGACAACACGTGTGTAAAGCAAGTCACGTCTTTACTTGGAGAACTAACATGCGTGTAACCACAATACATGTCCGGGTGAAGCATAACATAGTTCCGCCTTACTCAACACCTCCCCTCTTTAGTCAGAACCTTCCCACATGCTTTTAAATTTCAAATCAATGTCAAACTCACATTAGACTTTTTTAAACACTTTTCTTTTGTGAACACTTTTGTAACATTCCTATTTTGAACAAAACAATAAACATTCACTTGTACCATAGCACATTTCTACAAGTCTAAGCGCTTGGGAGGACGGGACACACGTCCTGAGGATGTTATATACGGGGCTGTGTCCTGTATGTTATCATTATGTGTGCTTTTATCATTACATGTGTATGTCTCTGCACTAGTAGATTCACCTGTTGACTCTGCAGATGCTGGTAAACATAATGGTCTCACATGAGCACGATTACGCCTGATTTGTCCCTCGTCAGTGTTGATAACATATGACCTTGGTGTAATTGCTTTGTGTACGACTGTCCCTTCTTTGTTCTCTCTTGGGAGCCACACATTCTGACCGGTCTGCAGACAGGGTAATGGCCTGGTCCTGTAGCGCCGATCGTAGCGTCGTTGTTGGTTTGATTTGTTCCGTCTCTGATTGTCTCTAAAGTTTTTGATGTTTGGCCACCGTGGTGAGAGGGTGACTGGACGCTGTGGCAGTGTTGTTCTTAATTGTCTGCCCATCAGAAGCTGTGCGGGAGAATATCCGCACTCGAGAGGAGTAGCCCGGTATGCTAGAAGTGCTTTTGTCTTTTCACCTCCTCCTTTCCACAGTCCTTTTACAGTGGCTACCGCTCTTTCAGCTTCGCCATTTGCCTGTGGATACCGAGGGCTACTGGTAGTGTGAATGAACCCATACTCTGCAGTAAAGTCTTTAAATAAATCACTGCTGTATTGGGGCCCATTGTCCGATACTACCACCTCGGCAATTCCATGGCGACTAAATGTCTCCTTGATGGCCGCTATGACTGTAGCAGACGATGGAGCATTCAGTTTTGCCACTTCAATATACCTCGAGAAGTAGTCCACAATCAGAATGAAAGTCTCTTTCTCCCAGAAAAACAAATCAGTCCCTACCCTCTGCCAGGGACGCTCTGGTATGGGTGTGGTCAGCAGTGGTTCCCTGTATTCCGCTCTGTGCTTGGAACATGTATCACAGTTTTCCACTAACTGACTGATTTGTACTGATATTCCTGGCCACCAGACTGATTGACGGGCCCTAGCTCTACATTTGACTATGCCTTGGTGACCACTGTGAAGCTGATTCAAAATGTCTCTCCTCATCTTTCTTGGAATGAACAGTCTCTGTCCTCTCAGTAAGAGCTCTCCTGCTACGCTTAGATTCTCTCTTTCCCCCAGTATATTACTAAATCTGGAGGAAGGGCCTGTTTTTCGGGCCAACCGGTCTTACAATACTGTATGAGTCTCTTACAGACAGAGTCATTTTGTTGTTCCTGCTGGATGCCTCGTAATCTGGGCTCTGTAGCTGGTATACTCTGGACCACTGAATCTATGAACACTTGGACCTCAGTTTCATTTTTCAGTTCCTCCTGAGTGAATGTGTAGTTCACTGGTGCTCTCGACAGGGTGTCTGCTGTTATTAACTGCTTCCCTGGAACATGTACAATCTCGAATGTGAACTTCATTAGTCTCAAACGGAACCTCAGTACTCTCGGAGGTAACTCATCCAATGCTTTGGTACTCAGTAGAGGTACTAGAGGTTTATGGTCTGTCTCTAACTTGAAAGTGAGTCCATGGACATAGGGCGCTAACCTTTCACATGCCCATGTCACAGCCAGAGCCTCTTTTTCTATTTGGGCGTAATGTTTTTCTGCTTCTGTCAAGCCTCTGGAAATGAACACTACTGGCCTCCATGTTCCATCTTTCTGTGCCTGTGTAAGAACGGCACCGAGCCCATATGATGAGGCGTCGGCTGCCACACATGTCTCTGCCTCTATAGAGTATGAAGCCAGGACACGTGGTGAACTCAGTTCAGTCTTAAGTTTTAGAAAAGCCTCCTTCTGTGGGGCTCCCCAGTGCCACTCATTCTTTTCACTGAGTAAATCTTTCAATGGTTTTGAGAAAGATGCAAGATGTGGGAGAAACTTCCCTAGGTAGTTCGCCATGCCCATAATTCTCCTCACACCCTCTGCATCACTCGGTTCTGGCATTTCTATTATCGCCTTGACTTTGTTTGGATCTGGGGACACACCTTCTGCTGTGACACAGTGACCCACAAACATTATTCTGTCTTTTAGGAACTCACACTTATCATTTAGTGTGAGTCCTTCTGACCTGAGCCTCTTCAGCACCTTGTGGAGTCTCTCGTTGTGTTGCTGTGTGTTTTCTCCAAAGACCACGACGTCATCGGCGTGGCACACTACTCCCTCGCACCCCTCTAGCATCTGTGACATCCAACGCTGGAAGTGCTCAGGAGCCGATGAGATCCCAAATGGCAACCGGTTAAATGCATACCTGCCAAATGGGGTTATAAACGTTGTTAGTAGCTTGCTTTCTTCGGCCAATGGGATCTGCCAGAAACCTGAGGTGGCATCAAGTTTAGTGAACACCTTTGCTCCGGACAGCATGGCCAAAGTGTGGTCCACCGCCGGAAGGATGTGTCTCTCCCGCCGCACCCACTTATTTAAATGAGTCATGTCCACACACAGTCTTATCTTGCCTGGTCGTGCTTTTGGCGCTACTACCAAGCCTGCGCACCAAGGTGTGGGCTGTGTAACTCTGGATATCACTCCCATGTCCTCCATACGTTCCAACTCACTCTTCACCTTATCCCGCAGTGGAAGGGGCACTCTGCGTGGGGTTGAGAGGGCGTATGGGACTGCTCCTGGGTCGAGCTCAATCTTGTAGGGCTCTTTGAGTTTTCCCAGTCCTGAAAACACTGTCGGGTACAAAGTTTTAAAATCCACTGGTTCCACAAGCACTGAATTTACTCGTTTAATCAGCTCCAATGCTGTGATAGCAGGGAGGCCTAGCAACGGTTTGTACAGTCCTTTGACAACATACACATCCTGAGTAGTTGTCTTTTTATTACCAGTGATTTTACCTTTGAACCGTCCCTTGACATCCAGTTTTTGTTTTCCTGGACCATACAGCTCTTTACATGGCGGCATCAAAGCGCCATGTTTCTGTGGAGAGTAAATACTGCACGGGATTGCTGTGACACTGGCTCCAGTGTCCAACTTGAAGACTGTTTCTTCTTCATTGAGATGTACAGTATCACTCCACTCATCCGACACTTCACATATCATTTCGCCCAAAAATGCAAAATCCTCTTCATCACTACTCCTGCTATGGAATTCTGTTATATTGTGGACCCCCGCTGACCTGCATTTCTTTGCATAATGTCCTTTTTTGTGACACTTCCTGCACTCTGCGTCTCGAGCTGGGCACTCAGTCCTTGAATGTTTTTTTAATAGTCCACATCTACTGCACTCACTTGTCTTTGAGTCAGTTTTTTCCTTTTCAAATTTATAGGGCTTTTTGTTTCGTTTGTGTATTGCTTCAACTTGCAATGGTTGCTGTTCAACTCCTCTGAGGACTGGCTGCTGCTTCTTTATTGCCTCGCTCTGTCTCACACGTGTCATTGCCTTTCCCAGTGTTAAATCTGCGTCTAACTGGAGACTTTCTGACAGTTTAGCATCTCTTATGCCAACAACTATACGGTCCCGTATTAGCTGTTCTCGTAATGTCCCAAACTCACAGTGTTCTGCCAGCATGTGCACTGCTGTTATAAAGGACTCCACGCTCTCTCCCGGCTCTTGGCTCCTCCGGTTAAAGCGCGCTCTTTCGAAAATGACGTTTCTTTTGCTAACACAGTGTGCCGTGAAAGCCGCTGTTACTGCCTCGTATTGCTTCGACTGAGCTTCTGTCAGGGGCAAAACATTAAGGATGTCTTCTGCGTCGTCACCAGCAGCATACATGAAGCTGTTCACCTGGAACTCTTGAGACTGCTTGTCCAGCCCCGAAGCGATCCTGTAGCGCTCGAACCGCTTCAGCCATCTTGGCCACTCGGTGACTTTAGTGAAATCAAACTTGCCTGGCGCCGCGAGCTGAGGCACGGCTGCTCCGCCGTCCCCGCTCCTTCCCTGCGCTGCCTCCTGCTCACTCATGTTGTCCTATCCCACTTCTGACACCATGTTACGTTAGCTGAACCTCACTTAACGTAGTAACACAGACAACACGTGTGTAAAGCAAGTCACGTCTTTACTTGGAGAACTAACATGCGTGTAACCACAATACATGTCCGGGTGAAGCATAACATAGTTCCGCCTTACTCAACACAAGTCAGCTAATTCCCCTACCCAGCGGTGACCAGTGGCATTTAGCTTAGCTGTTGTGAGAATTTATGTTAAGGGGTTGTTGTTCGTGTAAACAACAAATTGAGGGGCGTAAAAGAGATAGTCACTGAAACGTTCACATATTTTCAACACGTAAGCAAGGGTCTGGGGAGCCCGTGTGTCCGGACGGGACTTCACCTCAGGGTATACTCTTGACAGCTGGAACAAGTTTCAGCCCCTCTGTCTGTCGACCCTGTCCATTGAAGATTCGGAAGACGTATATCTTTGGCATTTTGGTGGTGGGGATCCTCCTTTTTGGGTTTGGAGCGGTCCTTTTCTACCGCAAATTTGGAGGCATGGCGGTTCGCAAGATTCACAAGCTGCTGGCCAACAAAATTGATGGGATGTACAAGGAGTTAAGCCGCGTCATGGTTGAGAGTGCCGTGTCTGGACAAAGGAGAGTTGTGTAAGTGGAACAGTTGATAAAAGTCCTCGCAACTCGTTCACTGGAAGGGCATAAAACACTAGAGATAAGATTGAATGACATTGTTTGCAGGCAATGAACTCTCTGACCTGGCATGGATTTGCCCCTGTGTACGGAGGTCTGAGGGCGCCGCAATTCGGTTTAATTGGATTCATATCTGCCTGCTTTTGACTGCTACATTGCATATAATATTGTCCCTCTCAGGCGATGTGTTTTCTCCTGCTGTGTCTTCTCTCCACTCTTATCTCACATTCCTCTGGCGAGGCCAAAGATAACATGGACCCAAATCATAACAATCCTCACACTCTGCAGTCTCCAGCTCGGATCCCGCTCCCCCCGCCTCCCTCTACCTATCCATCTTCTCCTTCCCTCCCCTACACTCCTCATTGTCTTTCCGGCTTACCCCCTCCCTGACCCCTTCTGACAGCCACATTGGGCCGGCTGCCGGGAGGTGCTCATCCCGAGAAAAAAATCTGTGGTTTATACAAAGCACAATGTGTCTATCCAATTGTCTGTTAAACTGTATGTTATTGCTCTCTGCTGTTTCTTGCTTGCACACAGCGCCTTAATGGCGAAGTGGCACGCTTTCTGCAAAAACAATTTCCAAGTGGTAACTTTGTTTGTTACTTACGTGGCAATAAAAATGATTCTGATTCTGATTGCCCACTTTAAAGCAAGAAATTCAAGCTTTCCAGAATGCATGTGATAATTCTTTTCTGGGGGTAAGTGTGCGGGAACCGTGGGCTATTACTCTCAGTTTGCCTGTTTGGTGTTGGTACAAGACGGCACCTAAACCGTCCTGGGAGGCATCACAGTGGAGTATAAAGGGCTGTGCAAAATCTGGGTACCCTAAGAAGGGTGGCTCTGATAAACAGTCTGTGAGCTTGTTTAAAGTCTCTTTCAGTCGCTTTCAGCCCATGTTATGGGTGTGCCAGGGGGTGGTCGCCCTTTGTGTTTTGCACTAACCTTGTTTTTTTTTTGTCTTGGTTACAGGCTGTTACGCGCCCAGGTATGGGATTGCGTGCACTCCTCCCCCTGCTCTAACTTGTTCTTGTGTGCAGGTTAGGATTGGCTGAGTGTCTGCGCTGGGACGTTGAGAGGGACGTCCCAGGCAGCACTCACGCTCTCTCTCTCCAGTTGCAGACACCTGGACCTGTCCTTTGGTCTGGGCCTGCACTCCACGCTGCCAGCCACGCCGCTGACCATTTACACTGATTCCATATTATTGTTTAAATAAAACGGCCAGTGAGCCATCCAAAGTCTTTGCCGTGTCCTCCCTCCTTCCCCGTAAGCCAAGGGGAACGTAACAAGTGGGAGCCTGTCCGGGATCATCCGTGCGGTAACGTATACCGAAGAAAGCACTCGTATCTGTGCGCTTCTTTGCATGCGTGGATTAAAAAAACAAATAAATAAAAAATGGAGTTTAGTTTGGATGAGTTTTTGGCTCAGCCCACTCTTGAGAAATCTGATCAATGCAGAAAGGTGGATTTGATTGCTATTGCCACGAACTTTGTAGTGCATATTAATAAGCTCGATAAAAAAGAGATAATCAAATTAAAAGTGCACTGTGCCCTTGCTGAGGAGGGGATTCTTCCTCCCTTGGATCCTGCTCCCAGCGCTGAGGTTTTTCCCAGCGTTGAACTAAAGCCTGACCACGATGTGCGTGTACTGGAGTTACAGTTGGAAATGCGCAGGTTGGAGCTGAAGGATCAAGAACAACAGCGGGAGTTCAGAGAGCGTGAGCAACAACGTGAATTTGAGCTCCGCAGACTTGAAATGGAGGAGGCTAGACGCGACTTGGTGCGCGTGAGTATCAGCTCCTCTGGCAATAGCAATAATGATTTTGATGTTAATAAATGCATCCGTTTAATTCTACCCTTTTCTGAGAAAGACATTGAAAAATACTTTATTTTGTTTGAGCGAGTGGCACAAACATTAAAGTGGCCTAAGGATATTTGGACCTTGCTTTAACAGTGTGTTCTCACAGGGAAGGCGCAAGAGGCCTATGCTTCTCTCTCTCCAGAGAGAATGTAGCATGTTGGTGTGGTGGTGTGGCTGCCTTCAAGGTGCGCCGTGGGCGTCACCAACATAGCTTTTAAATTCGGACGCGCACACGCGTATCTGTCTTTTTGGCATTGTGACAGCGTCTTGTGCTGCCGCCGGACCGGGTCGGGGCTACATGGTCCCTGACCTCCGTGCACCTCAGGCTTATTCACTCAGGTCAGTGCGTTCCCTTGCTTTCCTTGTCATGTTCTGTGGAAGGTTCTAACACAGCGCGTCTCTTGCACAGGTTTGTGTCGGTCTGCCGTGAGCAACCGGGCCGTCTCCTCCCCCTCCTCGGGCGGAGTGTAGGCTATAGCCGCGCGGTGCGTGTCTGGGATTTCCCCCCCCCTGGTAAGTGCATTTTGACCGGGCCCTCTTGGGATCTTTTACCGTGCTGCATCATCCTGACTCTATGCTGGATTTAGATTGTGAGCAGTGTGGGAGCGCGCGTATCACTTCTCGTCCCTTCCCCTCCGCCTGTCCCTCGTGTGCGTACGCAGAGTGCACGCTTAAAGGCGCGGCATAGGTTTGGGGTCTTCCCCGGGTAAGTGCCCTCTGTGTCTGACTTCTGTTGGGTCTTGGACCATGCTGATCTCAAATTTACTTTAGATCCTGAGCTGCGTGGGAACGTGCACCTTCCGCCGTGCCTATTCCCCTCCTCTTGCTCCTCGTGCGTACGCGCAACCTCGGTTCGCCGGTAAGACGCCAATAAAGACTAGTTTATATATTTAAGGCAATATTATGTAACAACTTCGTCCTGTTTATTTTAGGAACGAGGCGTGTGGCTTACGGCTGTCTTTCAGGCCGCCCCCTGTGAGGGAGGGCCGTTGTTTTGTCCTCTCTTCATTTATTTTAGTTACTTTATGTATACAATTACAAAGGACAATTTCAGGCACCTCTGACGCCTGGTGTGGCACTTGTTCAAATGCACTAAAGCACAACTCACTTTATAGGCTGCAGTTTGCAGTGAGTTTCGCGTCTTGTATGTTGTTTTTGCATGTTCCTTTATGTATTTTTGTTTGCTTTGCTTATTATTAATTACAGTGTTTTGACTTGGTTTGCTTTGCTTATTATTAATTACAGTGTTTTGACTTGGTTTGCTTTGCAGGATTTTGATTTGGTTATCATTTGTATTGTGTATGTTCTGTTTGTGTGCAACTTATTTCCCTGCTACTGTTTGCCTTTAAGTTAATTGGTTGCTTTTGACTTTTGCTCTGTCCCAAAATCAGTGTCAATTTGAATGTGCCAACTTATAGATTTTATCTTTTATACATCTAGGCCTATTTTAACCAGTTGCTGAAATAAAGGAATTTCTAGTTTATTAACACTCCTCTCTTTAATGTCCAACCTAGCGCGGTATTATTCTGTGGGTAAATCAAGAGTGATTCTGGTCCCAGGGCCCTACTCCCTGGGTGGCGTTGTTGGTATTTCTAAAATCTCTAAAACTGCTCCCGCCACAAGAAGCTTAGATTATGAGAGCGTGAAGGCAGCTGCTTTGAGAGCCTACGAACTCGTACCTGAAGCGTATCGGCAAAAGTTCCGTAGATACAAAAAAGCTGAAGGACAGAGTTACATTGAATTTGGGCGAGAGAAAATGGCCCTATTTGATCGCTGGTGTGCAGCACAAGATATTAACACTTTTGAGCAACTGCGTGATCTGGTCTTAATGGAGGAACTGAAAAGATGCGCTCCTGAGAAAATAGCGACCTATTTAAATGAACAAAAGGTGACCACATTAACCGCTGCGGGAATAATAGCAGACGAGTATGTTTTAACTCATCGGGAGAATTTTGATAAAGCCATCCCGTTGCAGCGTGGTTCAGCTGGGGATGGTAACGCGGTGGAACAGGGCAGGGCAAAAGCCCATTTCGACAAAGATATTTTTTGTTCATATTGTAAAAAGCGTAATCACACCGTGGATAATTGTTTCAAACTTAATAGAAGGAAACCTAAAGGTGTGGCGTTAGTGGATTCCTTACTTGCATCGCGCGCACATGAGACAGACTGGACAGATCTGAAAGTGTACTCTCCTTTTATTATGAAGGGTTTTGTGTCTTTGTCTAAAGATAATGTGAAAGTCCCTGTGACTATGTTAAGAGACACTGCGGCGTCCAGATCAATTATTAAGCAGAATGTGTTGTCTTTGTCCAACGAGACTTCACTAAAATGTACTGAGTTGGTGCAAGGTTTTGGTTTGAAACGTATGAATTTGCCCATGCATTCTATACAGCTTGAATTGGATTTGATTTCTGGTCCGGTTGCGGTGGCTTCGTGCGCCACCTTCCCAATTGAAGGAGTTGATTTTCTGTTGGGAAAACCTCGCTGGGGGGAGAATATTGGTTAACTCCGAAGTAACTGCCGTGTCCCTTGTTTCTGATGGTCCTGATCAGCTGGAAGTAAAGTTTCCCTCTGTGTTCCCCGTGTGCTATTACGCGCTATGGCTAAAAAAGCTATTTTACATGCTTCTGATAATGACTTAGAGGACAGCTTCATGAATGATGATGCTTTAGAGCATAAGCTGTCCGAGAGCATTAGTCCTTCTGCATGTTTGACTTCAGAGCTTGCGCCAGCCGTACAAAGTGCTGCGCCGAGCCCAGTAAAAGTTGAAAAGCCACGGGTTGATTTTGATACACATATGTCCAGAGAAAACTTAATAGCTGAACAGAAAAGTGACCAATCTCTTGTTTCCTTAATTGACACAGCTGTTACAGGGGACGAGATTGGTGACCTGTCTTGTGGCTATTATTTTAGGAATGGTGTATTGTTGCGAAAGTGGACCCCGCCTTACGCGTCGAAAGATGATGATTGGGGCGTCATCACGCAGGTAGTGGTTCCCTCCAAATTTCGCTCGGAGGTTCTCAGACTAGCCAAACCCTCCCATCCCACCCTATCCTTTACATCCTATACCAGCTGTTGGGTCCCCCTTTGATCATGTTGTTGTTGACTGCGTTGGCCCTATGCCCCGTACAAAATCGGGTTCCCATGCGCAAAATAACTGCGCCAACTGTAGTGAAGGTGCTTGTGAAGTTTTTTTCATTGTTTGGCCTCCCTAAAATCCTTCAAACAGACCGAGGAACTAAGGAACTATTCAGACCTGAAAAGTCCTTTACTCCGCTTGCTTGATCCGAATCAAAAGCGGACCAAACTTTTTTCTTTTGCTCCGGTTCGTATTCAGACTGTCCTTTTTGCAAGTGAACTTTTTTATATAAACGTATTGACACGTGTGACGATCGGCTCCTATTGGACAGAGAGAGCTCACGGAGGATAGACGCGGAACCGGCAGAAAACATTGAGGGCTCGTATGTGCAGCATGTCTGCTCTGCCTCTGTTGGCTCTTTTTAGAGCAAAACCACCTTCAAAATCAACAGCAGCAGCTCATATGATGTCACAGGTTAAAATCGTCTGTTGAGGTTGTGTGATCAATAAAAAAGCAGAAGGGGATAAAAAGGGGATAAAATGTAATAAAATATATTTAAAAAAAAATCGATAAAAGATGATAAAAATAGCCCGCAGTCCACTCGTTCCTCCCCACTGGCCTCCGCTCTTCTCAGTCCCGGGACCGGGCCGCAGTCCCGCCAGCCGCTCGCCAACCACGGGTCGCCACCGGGCACCCGCGGGGGAGAGCCGGCACATCCCGGTCTTTCTGTGGGCCTAGCCCGGGCGCACACCCGCCAATGCGCTATCAATGCGCACCTCACCAGTGCCGCTCTCCCCACTGGCCTCAGTGCCCCGTGGTCTCTGGCTGGCGCTGCTCGTCCTTGGCCCGGTCCCGTGTCCTCCTCCTCTGGACCGTCTCCGCCCTGTCTCTCTTCCTCTCTCTGTGCTCTCGTCCTGCAGTGCCCGCCCCCAATTAAAAGGTCTTGATTAAAACAGGTGCGGGTTAGGGGAAGTGTCCAGGGAACAGTGATAAAATGCATGCATTAAAACCATAAAAACACACAAAACACATCACAAAAATAAAAACAGTTAAAAGTCAATTTTAAAAGTCCACTTTCCCACAATGACACAGGCGAAACACATTGTTTTAAATATTGGAACAGTGTCGGAGAATGCGTGAGGAGAAAGCCGAAGGAGACTGTCTGTGCGCTCCGTGCCCTGTCCCACAAATGGATCTATTATAATAACGGCCCTGTTCAGCATTGTGGATAAACCATGGATCTATAATAACCACGGGACAAACAGACGTTGAGGATCAGGTAGGAACCAAAGAACACAATTCACTACATGATGCGGAATATTGCTCTTTGAGACGTGAGTCAAACAGTGTCAGGCTTTTAATAATGCAAATGGTTTGAAGATGCTGCCATTAACATCAATGTATACTGTGAACAGTTCTAACTCCATAAGCCTGTTGCACAGCGTCTCCTCACTGCTCCAGGTCTGCACACGGCTCATTGTTGTTGTGTAGCGTTAGCAGCATAGTTAGCCGCTGCATGGCTAATTCCTCAGTTTCTGTCTGCGGCTTGTTAAGCCCAAAAAATGCGGACGTATCTTGGAGTTGTGTTGGATCGACACCGGATGTATTCAGACCTGATTCGACTTGGACCAGAATTCGTTTGGAAGCGGACCGAGACAACCTAAAAAAGTGGATCTCGGTTCGGTTCTTTGGTCCGGACCAGGATTCGTGTGTGTGTATTCAGACCTGCAAAAAAGCTTCGGATCAGAGTTCCAAACGAATCCTGGTCTGTTTAAAGTGGAGCAAATGTGCAGGTCTGAATACACCCTAACTTTATGTCTCGTGTTTTTGCTCAGGTGGTGAAGGAGTTGGAAATCACTCACTCATTCTCTAGTGCTTATCACCCGGAAAGCCAGGGTGCGCTCGAGCGTTTTCACCAAACTCTGAAAGCTATGCTTCGTGCGTACTGTCCACGCGTTTGTCACCTCAAGGCTTGACTACTGTAACGCTTTATTGGCAGCATGCCCTAAAACCTCTTTGAAGAGCTTCCAGCTCGTTCAGAATACAGCAGCAAGGATCTTAACAGGTACCAAAAGGAGGGAGCACATAACACCGGTGTTAAAATCACTCTTTTAATCCTTCTTTTAACATACAAAGCCATAAATGGCTTGGCTCCTTCTTATCTCTAAGACACGTTAGTGTCATATCAACCAAGTCGAGCGCAACGCTCGCAAAACGCCAGATGTCTGGTGGTTCCTAAGGTCTCAAAAATCATTGTTGGCGGCAGAGCATTTAGCTACCAAGCTCCTTTACTGTGGAATCAGCTTCCCATTCATGTTGAGGAAGCAGATACGGTCTCCACATTCAAGGCCAGGCTTAAAGCACTCTACTTTAATTTAGCACATAGTTAGGCTGTTTGCCTGGATCGGTTTGCACACTTGGTGTGCAATCCATGAATCTTGGTGCTGTAGCCTAGGCGTGGCTGCTGCTGTCTCACCTCCTTTCAGATACGCTCTCTTTATTCAAGGCTAGGCATAAAACAGTCCTCTTTAGTTTAGCATTTGGCTAGGAAGGTAAGACTCAGGGACACTTTAATATTCTACAACATGTATGGACATTTTTTTTTGTGTGCTTTAAATTTTTCATGTGTTTTAACTGTTGATTCTCTGATCTGTGTTGGTGATTTCAATGGTTTTGTTAAGTCCTCTGAGATGACTTCTGTTGTGACTTAGGGCTATACAAGAATAAATTGTATTGTATTGTATAAACGCTGTCAGGGGGCGGCTTTCTGAATCTAAAAAGCCCTGATGATAGGCTTCGCCCTGGTCAAGCACTGAGAACCAGGAGCTGCCATGCAAAGAGTCTATCATGTCCTGAATCCTTGGAATGGGATGCCTGTCGGGTACAGATTTCCTGTTCAGTTCTCTGTAGTCACAACCAGTGTTGGGTAAGTTACTTTGAAAAAGTAATTAGTTACAGTTACTAGTTACTGCTCCCAAAAAGTAATTAAGTTACTAACTTAGTTACTGCACTATAAAAGTAACTAGTTACCAGTAAAAGTAACTATTGCGTTTCTTTTTCGTTTGTCGTGGTACCGAGTTTTAGCTGGTTGTAATTTAGGATAACTTCTAAGTAGATTAATTGTTTCAACAACGCCACCCTATTTTAGTATTAGTGTTATATGTTAGTTCAGGGAACTGTCACGCAGGCACACGGGTAATAATAAGACAGGCCAAGGTGTCATTTAAATTATATAGCATTTATTTTTATCCATTGATCAAAGAAAACACATTACAAAACTTGCAATTGAAAGAGACTATTTTAAAATAATTAGTTCCCACAGACACACACGAGCAGCCGTCACGCCTGACAGAAAAAAATCAGGGAAAATACAGTGCGCAGAGCCCGGAGCATGTGAACGGGGCAATCGTTTGCTGCCCGCGCAAAGCTTGCACTCCACGACAACGTTTTTATCTTTTTGACTGATGTAGTTGAAATAGTGTGCATATCTCCACCGGTAAAAAGAACTCTTCTCCTCTGACTCTGCCATGTTGCTTTACAAACAATCTCGCTCATGTGCGCAGCGTGACGTAAGCACGCAGGCACGCATGGAGCGGTAGTGCAGTTCTCCCCTGCTTTCCCGAGGCCGGTGCCGCCGGTAACGAAGTATTTAGGTAGTAACTGTAATATAATGAAACGTATTTTCATAATAACGCGTTACACTACTACGTTACTCAAATTGTAATTTCGTTACAGTAACGCGTTACTTAGTAACGCGTTACACCCAACACTGGTCACAACACAGTCTCAGTTCACCTTTTCACCTCAGTTCAGTCTTTTTCCTGACACAGACAATGGGGGATGAATATGATGACCTTGACTCTGAAATTCACCCTCGGTTCAGCAGATCTTGGAGATAGTCCTTTACTTCTTGATGCAGGGGCTTTGGAACTGAAACATAAGTCTTTTTGACAGGGGTAGTGTCGTGGAGGGTGATGTGCATGCTTAAAGAAGGAATACATCCAACATCTTGGTCATTGTATGCAAAAGCATGACATTCCTCTCTTAGTAGCTGCCTTACTTCATTCTGCTGGACTGGACTAAGATGGTCAAGCTTAACTGGGGGATCTCACTGATCTGGTTTGGGGTGGAATTGGGCCATATTGGTGATCTCATTAATGTGAGCGTGTGTACCAGTGTCACTCTCGGGCCCTTCTACTTCCAGCTTTTGATTATTAACTGGATACACTGCTTTTATTTCTTCTAAGTGACCCAAAATGGTGCGATCTGGCATGGTAAGATCTTGTTTTTTGGCATTACCAATGGCGATGGGAATGTATACTGACCTTCCTTCTGTGACATTAACCAGTCCTTCTTGTATTGCCAGGCCTTCTGGGAAATGGGACAGTTCATCTGGAATGAAGAGAAGACTCTGGCCTGCATACCAGGCTGCCACATGTGCTCGGACATATGTGGTGCTTATTTGAGGCCCCGTCCACACCGGGTATCTGCTAAACCGCAGATATTTTTCTTTGTTTGCACCTGTCATCCACATGACAACGCACCAAAAACGAATATTTATAAACACTCCGGGCAAAGTGGAGATTTTTGAAAACTCCGTTTATGCATTTGCGTGTAGACAGAGATAACTGGAGCAGAAAAAACTGTTTTCTGCTGCGAGTGGTTTGCAGCGGCGAACATCCTCCACATCTGAGAGCAGCAAAGTGATCACAGGGACTCACGCTCGAAGCAACCAAAACAGGAGCTAAACCAGGATTAAACCAGGACTAAACAGGACTAAACCAGGGCTGAGGACTATGGAGGACCAAAAATGACTAAAGTATAAATAAATAAATAAATAAATAAATACAGGAATATATTAATACATTGATGTGTTAAATATTACTATGAAATCAAATAAATATACTTTTATTTAGGTTATTTATCAAAATCTAAATTTTTTCCTTTATTTATTTATCCATTTATTGCATATATTTATTTATGTATTTCTACATTTCTTCATTTATTTATTT